GGACCCAATGATCACTTACCCCACGGTGTGGGGAGTGGTCATTGGTTGATTATGCTGGCGCGCCCTCCCGAATGTATCGGGGCTTCGGGGGATAGGGCCTGACCAGCGCACACTACGGTAAAAAATAATAATAATAATAATGGGTTTAGAGGTTCCTGACACAAGGTACAGGGCCTGCCGCGAGGCACCCGAGACCCTAACCCCTAGTTTATAATAATGCAAGGTAAGGTAATGCAGAGAGGTAAGGTAAGGTATCCATTTTTTGACGTTCACGAAAAAATAAAGTATGAAGAATTGCCATAGTGACTATAGGTTTCGGTAATTTTTGGGTTGGCAGGAATGCATAAATAAATATTGACATTACATTCCATTTCCATAACCTTGACAGCAGCAATCATTCATATGAAATAAATAATAACTTTCATGTGTAGACGTATATTTTATATCAATAATAGAACAATACCCAATAATTTATGATAAAAAAAATTGAAAGGAATTAATGAAGGAGAAGGCATGGCAGGTGATTGCCAAAATAATAAGGCTACCAGAAGAGCAATGTCAAAGATATGTTGGAGCTAAAATTTTCCATAGAACACCGCAAATTTCCTTAATGATTTTATGGATTATGGTCTTTCCCAAATGGTATGCCCACGCCTCCGACTGTTGCAAAGTTTCTTGCGATAAGTAACTGAACAATTTTGTTAGATACATATTTACAATTTCAACAATTCACTTTACTGGAGTGTTATAGCCAATTTCTCTTCTAGAGATATCAATCCAAATATTTTTTTTAACAATGAAGGCGCTAACAATTCCACTAAATTTTCAAAACATATTTTGTTCATTCTTGTGTACATCTGAGTCTTTCTGCTTCTCAGAATGGGTCTAACATTAAACCTCCACTACACACTTACTACCGACTACCGACACGATCGCGGCAATTTTTGTATTTATATCCATCAAAAGAAAAATCAAATTTCACAATGTGACATTACCTAATACATACATACATACATACCTAATACACCATTTGGATATATCCGTCAAAGTTCGTAGTATGGCGCTTTCTGATTGGTCGGAGGTAAGAACGCAACGCAGAAAGTTGAAAATACCCGACTTGTTACCTTGCGTTACTTTGCCTTACCGACGTTCCTTACCTTACTTTTTATCTAGAACGCAAGTGTGTTTTCTCAATGCTTCAACTTTCTTACCTTACCTTACCTCGTTACCTTGCGTTTTTATAAACTAGGGGTTATGCACTTGCTATCAGCACGTCCAGCATATGCGGTCTCGACCTATATGCATCGACATAACGCGGCCCTTAGAGTGCTATATTACCATCTACGACACTCTTACGGTATTGACGAGACACCGGTGTTGCCCTACGCTCCGGGGGATATTGAATCCGTTGTGGGGAACGAGAATTGCCGAATTCATTGGAACTATTCGTTCCCCACCCTCAGTCTCATACAAGCTAATAAGCCTGATGTAGTCCTTCTCGACCACCAGAGCAAGACGATATTTGTCGTGGAGTTTTCAGCTCCTGGCGAGACGAATATCGTCAGAAAAGAGGAGGAAAAACGGATAAAATATCGGGATTCTCTCTNGAAAGAATTCCGATTTTCAATTGTGGAATATCATTGACTTTAGGTCGATGATGGTCACTATCTTGCACTGATGAGTGGCTAATAAGCCCGAAACCGGTCTGCAAGTGTGCCTGTTCCAAAATTGAGGGTCGACTCTTTCAGTTGTATTGCCAATTGCATATGCAGGAAATTTTCTGTGAAGATTCCTGTCCATTAAACCTACTTTGTAGGTATATCGAGACTGGCTTGAAAGTTTGAAGTTCATTTTGCTTTAGATTCAAAAATAAAGATTTGGTTTAAGGAAAAAAAAAATCTCCAATAATATTCGTTACTACACCAGAGGTTCCAAACAGTACATCCCAAGTACATCTTCAACTTGATTAATAACACACTTAGATGAAAGTGTTGCAAAAAAACTAATAAATAGAGTTTATTCTATGGTTTACACTATAAGGGTTTTACAAAAACCGTGACACGTGTTTCGCTATACAATAGCTTCTTCAAGCATAAGCAAGTTATGCTTCAAGCAAGTTATGCTTTAAGAAGCTATTGTATAGCGAAACACGTGTCGCGGTTTATGCTTATGCTTGCTATGCTTATGCTATTGTATAGCGAAACACGTGTCGCGGTTTATGCTTATTGCTTAGCTTGCTTGCTTATGCTTAGCTTGCTTGCTTATGCTTGAAGCATAAGCAAGTTATGCTTCAAGCAAGTTATGCTTTAAGAAACTATTGTATAGCGAAACACGTGTCGCGGTTTTTGTAAAACCCTTATAGTGAAAATCATAGAATAAACTCTATTTATTAGTTTTTTAAATATGGACTTTCATCAAGTATCGGCCAGTTCTATTCGATGAAAGTGTTGCAGTTGTGGTGTACGGTAAAATGCTTTTTATATAATTGAACCAGATACCAATAATAATAATAATAATGTACTGACTACCTGTAATACTTGGCAGAAGTTTGACAATTAGGGTAGCCCAAATCGCTCCAAGACACTGTGACAGTTTCGGATTTTTGTTGGGTCAGCTCAATATTTGACAAAACATACAGAACACCTGGATGTTTGTATTCACTATCTTTAATCATGCCATCTTCCACTAGTTTTTCAGTTAAATGTAGCCAATTCCAAACGTTTGCCAATGACAAATGATTTTTCACCACTTCCCCATTTTTATTCAATTCTTGCTGAAACCATTTAAAATGAGGAAAGGAAAACTCATCAAAAAAATATATACCTGTATTCCATAACGTAATTTGGCCCTCTCCTTCATATGGTAGGAAATGTCTTCTATCTTGAAGTCATCAATGTACCTCAGCATCTTCTTTCCATACGACCATACCAAATTTGTCTGTGGTGATGAGTTAATAGTTATTCTATCACAAACAGTGTAATCCTTGATTGCACCTTAAAAAATTCAACAATACAGATAAGTAAGCAAGTAAGTAGTCAATATTTACCAATTGCAAAATATGTACAAGTAAATAAAGGAAAGAGAATTTGAATGTTCTGTAGGCAATGTTCATTTGGATAAGTTCAAATTATATGTTGTTTCAGTATATAGAACACCAGATAGTAATGTAGAAAACTTTCTCTGGAAAATGTATGAAATGTTATGTGATATCAAAACCAAAATTAGTCATTCTGAAGTATTAATGTTTGCTGACGACTTGAAAATATTCAAAACCATTGTATCCACAGTTGACTACGAACGTATTCAGAATGACATTACATCCTTTACTGAATGGTGTGTAGACAATGATATGGACGTGAATGTGTCTAAATGCAAAAGTATGTCTTTTTCTAGATCACTTACTCATTACAACAATATGTATACTATAGCAGGCAAACTATTAGAATCGGTGAAATCCATACGAGATCTTGGTGTAGTGGTGGATGTCAAAATGGATTTTCACCTGCAGTATGAACAGATCTCTAGCAAAGCAATGAAAATGTTAGGCTTTCTATGCAGGACTACAAAAGACTTCACCAACATTAATTCTATCAAGTTATTGTATTTCGCTTTGGTTAGATCGATTACAGAATATTGTAGCTGTGTTTGGTCACCAACTTATGAAATTCATAAGTACACTATAGAAAAAGTACAAAACAAATTCATAAAATATATTGCCTTTAAGTTGTCTATACCTCTCAGTGATCACTCTTTTTCAGAAATTCGGTCTGTAACTGGTTTACCGAAACTTAGTTTACGCAGAGAACATATAGATATTATATTCCTTCATAAATTGCTTAATTTTAGAATTAATTGCTCAACTCTTCTTGCCCAAGTAAATCTTCATGTTCCCTCTAGAAAAACACGAAATAATCTAACCTTTGCAATAGATTACCATAGGTGTAACTATGGAATGCATTCTCCTTTATCAAGAATAGTCA